TTGGGGTTTTTTGTTGTCTCATTTTTAGTAAGAAAAGATAACACATTTCAGTATTTGCATTCTGTAACAGATTCTTCAAAACTTACCAAGAAGCATTGAAAGTGGAAAGAGAAGGGTAAACAGTCATCAGTTACCAGCTGTAATTTGGCATTCAGTTTGGTAAAGGAGCTTTCCACAGTGCAGAGCATTTCATCAATATTCACTCCACATTGAGAGAAGTCTTATCTATATCTGTAATAGAATAGGAGTCCTATTCCTAAGTTTAAATTCCTGCTACAGTAAGTTTTTATTCAGACACAGAATATATCATTTTTATTACTAACTAGCACATGGGCAGATTCTAATCTAATCACGCATCATATTGAAAAGTTCATTCTGGACCTTTGAAATTGAAATATATCTCAGCATACTTGTATTCATATTATAAAATGAGTGTGGCGGATTTGGGAGAAGCAGAGCGAGAGCTGTGGAGCCGCGTCAGGGGACTGGCGGGGCTGAGGAGTAAACTGGAAAGAGCAATTGTTACCAGTTTCACATCCTGTTGCACCGTGTCCACCCTGTGAGTGTGCAGCGAACAGCTGATGTGCAGGGAAACGTGTCTTGTTTCTTTTGTTTCGCTTTGGTAAAGCGGTGCTAGCGTAAATGTGTGGCAGACTGGCTAAAATTCAACCAAGCTAGCTATTACGATATTTAAAATACATAATTGATATGCATTGTTGGCTGCAAGAGAAGTGCAAACAAGAAACCAGCATACTGTGCTACGTTTGCTGGATGTGCTAAGGTGTTGTTAGCAACCAGGACAAGCATTTCCTTGCAGCCTGTAAGCAGGTGCTGCGCGGTGGCTGAGGGGAGCAGAGTAGCCGCTGTCCTGTCTGGAAACACGCTGTGAACAGTCCCATTAATTTTAGTTGAATGGATGAATCAAATGACAATTAAAAAGTCTACATGAGTGAGGGCTGAGTTTTTTTGGTTATGTTGCTGCAGGGAGAATACTTAGCTCTTTCTTTTCCATTAGAATTTTTAACAATTAGGTTACTTAACAGTACAGAATATCAGAAGACGCAGAAATGCAAAGCAAGCATTTCTATTGTTGCACACCTACGCAGAAGATGATGTTTTATTTGTTTCTTGGAAACTCCTTAGACAGAAAGAAGCAGCTCCTTGCCCAAACCTGCAATTCTAGAAGAAAGTTCCTGTGACAGTGCTGAGGGGAAGAGTTCCCAAGTAGTTACCAAAGTTATATTTTCTCCAATAATCACACTTTTCAAGTTTATTTGCTTTCACCTACAAATGAAGCTTTTTTGTTTTGTTTCCTGTCCATCAGGTTAGACTGTTATTTCTGGTGGGGGGAAGCAAAATACATATAAAGGACATTTAGATTATGGAGGCAAACATTTGGAAACTAGAAAGCAGTGGTCTCCACTAATTATGCTTCTTTGTGTCTCGCTTGCAGCCTTGTCTTTCCCCCTTTGCTTTTGTGCTTTTGATAGGCAGCTTCATCTTCCCCACCTTCTGGTGATGAACAGCAGGCATAGCAGTAGCTCACAGGAATGATGTTCATGCTTTTTTCTGTTTCGATTTCTTTAATAAGGTTATTCAGAACATTGTGAAATCTGATGAAACTTCACCTGGGCTACGCTTACTTTCAGTATCACCACATGATTCTGACATGGCCATTCATGCACGTCAGAAGGGCTGGGCAGATGTGACAGGATAGAGTTAACAGTTACAACAGTTTTTCATCCTTTTCACTTCTGGGAAGATACACGGGCTGGTGAGGAAGAGGAGTATGAATTCAAGTCTGCTCTGTACTCCAGTCATCTGGCTACATGCAGATCATTTCAGCATCATTCAACTGCTGAAAGAGTTACATTTAAGTGTATTGATTAGTATGATAGCATCGGAAAATGTTAAGAGATGGAAAAAAAGATGATGATAGGTGTACTAAATGCGGTATGCAGGTGTTCCACCTATATCTCTACTTTTAGCTTTAGTTATACTGACAGTATGTTGTATGCTTGGACATCACTAGATAGAAGATGGGGGGGGAAGATATTTAATTGGAGTCTTTATGAACAGGGGACAGAAAGTCTGCTCAGTCAGAGACCCGCCAGCGGATACATTTGTTGTCTTCTGTAGGGTAGGGTAGCGTTATGTTATCAGGAGATAACTTACATTTTGTCAAACAAGATTAAATTAGATAACTGGATGTTAGCAGTATGGTAATATGAAGGCTGTAGACTAAGTTAGTGTTCTTGCATTGAACTTTTGTTCTGAGATAAGTTCCCGTCTATGGAAGCCCTGAAACCTTCTTTGAATTTATGTCGAATTTCCTTTGCTTACAAGCTAGCCGCCCATTTCAGTAGTTATGGGGTTTTTTTTGAGGAACTTTTTAGCCAAAATTGAAGTGTCTCAGGTTTGTCCTCTTTTCTGTATGTGCTTTCCTCACTTGAATAATCACTGATTTTGTACGTCCAAGTTTTTTTAAATGACAGTGCTTCCATATCTTACGTTGTGTTGCATTGTTTTTGATTTCTGCATTGTCAAAACATATTAACTAAATTTACTTTCTATCAGTACAAAAGCCAGGGATTTTTTATTGTATTCCTGCAGTTCTCACAGTTCCCAGCTCTCATTTGGGGCCAATGTTCATCCTCCAAAAGTTAGTATTAATAAGCAGAGTGTTTTGGGATGGATTGATTACTCGTACTTAGCTATCCATTGCAACAGATTTCAGACAATAGTGTATTAATTGGCTTTCTATGGAATAATCTACTGCATTTTGTATGTACAAGTTAAATCTAAAGGGTGTAATCTTGCTCTCCTGTGAGACCCGTTGCACCAAAAACCTCAAGTACTCTGAATTTTTTAATGTATCTCTATGGTCTCCAACTGGCATCCAAAATACCTTGTAAAGATGGGTGATCAAGTTAGCTTGAAAGCATATGAAAAATAAGAACAGAGACATGATACTAATAGCTTACCATTGAAAATAGCCTAAGGTCAGGCAGGTATTTGAGGGCTGTATCATAAAAATATTTGATAGAAGTTTACTGCTTAAACCCAGTTTATTTTTAAATAAAGTAATACTTTTTTCCTGTAGGTAATATATCCTCCACATTCAAAACTCACAGATAAAGAGGTAAGCCATGATCGCTGTATAAGTATATGATTTGGTTTGAGTTTAGTAATTTCAGGAAATATAACGGCTCTCTTTTCTTTCCCCTACCCTTTAGAAAACCAATATTTGCTATTTGTCTTTTCCAGATTCTAATTCAGGTAAGTGCTTCCTTCACTCTGTAGTCGTCTGTTGTTGGACTAAGCTATGCTGAAAAAGATAGAATTTGACAGTATAAATTCATGGGTTTAGATTAAATACTTATTTGACTATCTTAATTAATATTACAATACAGAAAAGTTGCCAATAAGGTTAAATATAAAACTATAATTGTCTGTATTGCAGTAAAGTTGGAGAACTAATTTTTAAAATTATTATTATTTTACATACATTCACATTCCTGATATTTAATTTATAAGACCTTCCAGATGACACACAGATGTTTCGGAATACTTTGGAAGTAAAGAATGAGCATGTTAGTCTAGCTTTTAAACCAAACAGTAGTATTGTCATTGTAGAGGGAAGTGTAGGCACAGAATTTGCATGGTTTGATAAAACAAATGGAAGGGATATGGAACCATCTTGTCATGAAGGAGGAAATGTGTATTTTCTAAATTACTAACAGTGAAACTGACTTTAAAATTCAAAAGTATTTAGAAATAACAGTTGTGAAGGGAAAACCTATGCTACCTTATGTCTTGTCTATTCTTGATGCTTCTGTTGCTGTGTTTAGTCCTGCTTGCGAAATGCATCTTTAATCTATGCTTCTACTGTTCTGCTGCTGAAGAGAAATTGGAGGCATGTGGCTGGTGACTTGGACCACCTGCAAAAAGATATGGCAGAAGTACAGACACTTCCTTTCATATTTATTTCTTCACAAAAGAACAACTTCACTAATCTGCCCTCTTTTAGCTTGAAGCCATTACCCCTTGTGCTATCGCTGTATGCCCTTGTAAAAAGTTCCTCTCCAGCTTTCTTGCAGGCCCCTTCAGGTACTGGAAGGCTGCAATAAGGTCTCCTCGGAGCCTTCTCTCCTCCAGGCTGAACAGCCCCAACTCTCTCAGCCTTTTCTTGTAGGTGATGAGTTGCAGCCCTCTGATCATTTTTGTGGCTCTGCTCTGGACCCACTCCAACAGGTCCATGTCTCTCCTGTGCTGAGGGCTCCAGAGCACGACGCAGGACTCCAGGTGGGCTCTCACCAGAGTGGAGCAGAGGGGCAGAATCACCTCCCACGCCATGCTGGCCACACTGCTTTTGATGCAGGCCAGGGTACGGCTGGCCTCTTGGGCTGTGAGTGTACATTGCTTGGTTGTGTTGAGCTTCTCGTCAACTACCAGCAGGCCCCAAGTCCTTCTCCTCAGGGCTGCTCTCAATCGCTTCTCCAGCCAGCCTGTCTTTGTGCTTGGGATTGCCCCGACCCATGTGCAGGACCTTGCACTTGGCCTTGTTGAACTTCATGAGGTTCTCACAGGCCCTGTTCTCATGCCTGTGAAGAGCTACTACCTACTCTTGTTGTTAATGCTTATAAATCTGTCCAGTCTTTAAAAGGTGTAATGAAGGTACAAAAAAATGCGTTAAAGGCTGATTTTTTTTAAAAAACTTTTTTGTTTATTTCAAATTAGAGTGGTAGTGAAGTTATTTTAGGCAGAATAGATGTATGCAAGGAGCGTTTACTTTCAGCATGAAAAAAACCCCACCTTTTTGCTTTTTTTAATGTCCCTATTAAGAAACTGTAGGTTCTTGATCGTTCTTGGTAGGCGGAAGTTTCAAATGATATAAAGGGATTACTTGTGTAAAACCCGTGTTCCAGAAATTAGCTAGGAGTGTATGCTGTCTGTTACAATTTATTTTTTCATTATAGGCCATAATATGAAAATAAAAACTTTGTGCAGTATAGCAGTTAAGTAAATTATTAGCTTGCAGCTAAATTTGAGGTCAGTCTTCCCTAGGTTTTCGTGGCTCAAAAGATTAATTCATGGGTGGTTTTTTTTTTGTTTGTTTTACAACTACAAGTAGACATAATTCTAGGACTTGTAGTGGCTATGAATTTAGGGGGAAAATGGATTTAATCGGGTACTAGATCGTGACGCTTCCTGTATTTTTAAGTGAAGTTTCCTAGTGTGGTTATCTTTAAAATAATGCTTTTGCCTTTTCTGCATGGGTTGTTGAAGAAAGAATAGACATTTACCAGTATTTTAAAATTCTGTGTACCAGAAAAGCTAGTTAAATAAGAAGCTGTCATATTTTGAATGATATGTCAACATATTAATGATTAAGGGTAATTTACTTTTAGGACTTTCATGTATAGCTTTTTTTTTTTGCTTTGGATGAAGGGAACTAGCTAGGAAAACTTGGAGCGAATATTTAGTACTTTGTTACTGGCATGTGCTGTGTTTTTCCTGTTCTGATTGGATCTGTATTGCTAAGCGCTTGCTTTAGTTACATGTTTCAAGGGTGGTTATCCCCTCACACCACGTTTTGCTGCTTTGGGTTTTGTCTTGGCGCTGTGGGTTTCCTGCTGCAGCGTCGGGGGGTTCTCAGCCCCCGCCCTGAATGCCCCAGCGCGCTGCTGTGAATCCACGCTGCCAGTTGCACGGCCCGGGAGCCTGACTGCGGGCTTGGGCTGTCCATGGATGCCGTAGCAGTATGTATGTGACTGAAGGAAAAGGAGATGACACTGAGCTGTGAAGTCTGAAGAGTAGTTACCGGGTGAATGGAGCTCTGCCTTGCTGTTTAGTCAGTTAGTGCTGGCTGAGGTCAGCCAGGACAGCTGTGAAGAATTTGGATGATCGGTGGTGACTTCATGATTTTTTTTCCTGAAGGTCTTTGCAAATTATGTCCAAAAGCAGTAAGAGCAAAGCAGTAACGAAGAAGTTAGATTCAGACTGGAGAAGCAAGTGTCCTTTGCCAGCTGGAAACTTGCTGCTGTAACAGTAGCTGTAAGTTGAATAGTAGGTTGGATTTTATGGTCACTGACATGAACGTTTACATTGCTACAGTGAAGATAGTCTGCTTCCCACAGGTTGGCAATGCTCAGGAGGTTGTCCTTTGATTGATTATGTTCCTTTTAAAAACACTGCGTTCCAAAGGGTTTGCTGGAATGAATAATGTACTTGCATGTTCTTAAGATTCCATCAGTCCCCCTTATCGCTGTTCCCACGAACAGCACATTCTGTTCAGCTTATATAGCTTCTGCTTGAGCTAAAGGTTTTTTGGAGCTGCTTCTCTTTTAACAGCAGACAGCATCTGCAGTGGTGAGAACACAGCCGTGAGAGTATCAGCGATACAAGTTCTGACACTGCAGTTCTCATGGTCCAGCTGGAGAAAGTTTATTTGATATCTGATACAAACTTACTCCAAATTTATTGTCAGACTGCAGATAGTCAGTATACTTAGTTACATTTTTCCTTCAGAAATAATTTTGATGGAAATGAAGGGAAACATCACTCCTTGGGAGTATTACAGGAAGTAATACTCAGTTTCACTCAGTTTTCTGCAGGAGTCCTAGGCCTGCCCACGGAGTTACAAGAGATCAGCATAATACACTGTTGCGGTGTGACTTATGTATGAACTGTTTGGTGTCAAAAAAAGGCTAAGCGCAGTCATTCAGGGCAGAAATGACGTGTGGTTAAGATAATCAGAACTATACAGGCAGCCCAATAAAATGTGTAGTAACAGTAGCAGGACAGCCACTAGCAGAGCTGTTGGAGGACGTGACAGTCTAATAAACTCATTGGGAGGCAGAGTGACTTTTTTTCTTGTTGAGGGAGGGATATTTATTGTTGCCAAAGATGCCAAATTGTTCACTTATAAAAACAGAAGCATATAAATGGTCGCAGCAGCAGGGCACAATAGCAGTGCAAGATAAATGGATGAAAGCTGTTATACCTCTTTGGCTGTGAACAAGTCCTCATGTTAAACAAGGCTCAAACTCAGAATACTGTCTGGTTGTTGTTTATCTCTTCCCCATATGTAGGTTGTCTTGGGGACACACAATTCTGTTTTAGATTTCGACGCTCTCCTGGAAGGAAAGTCTCATTGTGTTGTTTTCTGGACCAATTGGATAGAGATCTACCAGTTTGCTTAAAGGTTGGAAATAAGAAAAAATGAAGTCAATTTCTTTTGGGTAATGTTAATTTATGGGTCTTCAGGCTTAAATTTAATGCTTGAATAACAAAATCTCTGAACTGGATGTTCTGAAAGACAAAGCTTAGCAAATGTGGGTTTTGTAGCATGTCGTTATCGTAATAACTAATAATTAGTTCCATTAACTATTCTGTACGTTTTATTACTATGGGTTTTGAACTGCAAGGAATTAAACTGAAGACCAGACCTATTTTTTTTTTTGCTGACTAGAAACCTGTAGATCGAGTTGTAAGAAGCATTACATTTTTGGAAATCTGAAGTGCTTTATTACTTTAAAAAAAAAAATGCTGGAGTGTTGCTCTGTTTCCACTGCTCATTTGTGGAAGATGGAGCAGTTACTTGAAAGAGGTAGTGGCTAAAAGTTGTTCTAGGCATATCCTTATGGAATATTGAGGCTTTTAACTGTGCTAGTGGTAGTCTGATTCTCAAACTCAATTTAGATCTGTTTATGTGGCACATACATGCATCCCTGTTTGTAGGAAGGATCAAGCTGCTGTTTTATCTTTGAAATGTGAGACCATGCTTCCTTAATGTTCCAAGAATCTTTTATAAAACTGATACATTGAAAGACTAGCTTTTATTTTTTCAAGTTACAGCTTTTAAATTTTTTAACTGCTAAAATCTTTTTAGTGCTACTGTGCAAAATTAGGAATGTTGATTTATTCCTCAGGAAATTAATTCTATTTTTGCTTTCATAGTGTGTCAGGAGAATGCAGATATAAAAATAGTCAAGCCAGAAGGCGCAGCTGTTTCCACACACTGATGTTTTCTCTTTCAAGTACTTATTAAAAACAATAATGCCAATAAACAGAGTAATCCTTCTAGTTTATTGTATCAAACCAACTTTGGAGCTTACAGGGAAATAAGCTTTTAAAATGCATATTGAATGCTTAAGAAAGAAGGGGCAGTATCAGGCTGTTGCACTGAATTCTTTCCTTTCCTTTGCAGAAAGATCCAGCATATTACTATGGCTATGTATATTTCAGACAAGTTCGAGACAAATCGTTAAAAAGAGGCTATTTCCAGAAGGTAATTTCAATTCTTTTAGGAAAATGTTAATGCAGAAACTAATTATTTTTCAGTGATCTCAGAGGAACAGAAAGAATATCTTGCTCTCTTAACTAAATTAATTGTAGATTCATAGTAAATTGGTCTAATTTTACATCAGCTGTGCTATATTCCAGCTGCACTGTCAGAACAGAAGGGTTTTTTGTGGTTTTTTTGGTGTTTAAAAACAAAAGTTGAGAACTTTAGGGAGTTTGTTTGCAGCTGCCTGTAGTGAAATATGTGGCTGGCTTGCAGGTGTGAGGAGAAATCACACTTGACGTTCTCTGTGGATAACCGCTAGAACTGCAGTAGAACTGAGGGAAAGGCTTAACTTAAAATTACAGTTATGTTTTGTCACTCTTTATTCCAGTCGCTGGTCCTCATCAGCAAGCTACCTTATGTCCATCTCTTTCGCACCATGCTGAAGCAAATAGCACCAGAATATTTTGAAAAAAGTGAAGCTTTCCTGGAAGCAGGTAGTGGTACTATTAAGTTGTTCTGGAGGAGCTCTTGTAATATTACATACTTCTTTTGGAGAAATAAATAATGCTGTCACATTCTGGTCTGTGTTTCTGCCTTCTTGCAGCGTAGACGGTCAAAACTTTAGCAGCTAAACTGGCTTGATTTCTAGATCACTGAACAGAGCTAATGTAATTTTGGATCCTCCATGGGAGAGCTGAAGCTCCCCCATAAAAAACATCTAGGGTTTTGTTGTATGTTTCAGGACCAGCTGTTCAGCACAGGTAGCTGATGGCAATCCTTAGTTTGCGCTCTTCACAGATTGAAGAGAATTGGGCATTCTGAGAACTTTTGTTAAGCAACAGGACAAATGTCATCTTGTGTGAGGGGTTTTTTGAGGGAGGGTGCTGTTTTTTGGGGTTTTCTTTTTGACCGAAGGGAAAATGCAGAAGAGCAGCGCTGAGAACAGATGCCTCAGCCTTACTGTAGAACTTTTAAGAACAAGAGAGGGCCAAATGGGAAAGTTACTTGTTCTTAGCCTAGAAGCACTGTGTTGTTTGTACTGTGTCTGCCCTATACAACATTCGTGTCTTTGTGCTTTCACTGAGCAGCAGTTTGTGGAAGCCGTTCTTGATGAAGGAATTGTATTTTTTAATCACCTGTAGGTAAACGTGGGGGTTTTGACAGGTTGTATTGTGAACAAAATAAGCTGTGCAGAAACTAGTAGAATTTGTAATTTGTAACTATTTACAACAAAATGCTGGAAAAGTTTCTAGCCAAGCTAGAAAGTTAGCTTTTTCTTTAACTATGTGTGGTCTGCAGTAGCTACTGTACATAAATGTATGAATTCTTTTCAAATATTCTTAATATGTACTTTCATGGTTACTCATATAACATTTCTTCAACTAATTGCAAGTCTAGTTGCTACAAAATATGCAAGAAAAGGGTACTGTTTTCTTGAAATGAAAAACTTCATAGTTCTAATGAAATAATACATTAAGAATGTCAAAAAGGCTGTGAAACTGGTTTAGAGATTGGAGTGATCAAGAGGTAAGTAGAACTGTTATGGGCAATCAGCACTAATTTAAAATTACAGTGTGCACAAAGGTGACTACAATATCATGAATTATAGCATATATAAACTACTTATAAATTATACTTTTTTTTTTTCCTTTAAGTTTGTAGTGATGTTGATCGTTGGCCACCACCGATTCCAGGGAAAATACTGCATTTGCCTATTATGGGCGTTATAATGAAGGTAAATACTCCTGCGCTTACTTTTCTCTGCGTGTGTTTTCCCCTCCATGTACTGTATACGTACTCACTGTATTCTGCCTTGTTTTCAGTGTCTCATACTTCAGAACAGGAATAGCTGTGTACTCCACTCAGAGTGAAGGTCTGGGACATCTTGATTAGGTTCTTTGATTGGGGGGAGGAGGGGAGGATCTTTTATGGTGCATAGGTTAACATGTATTTTTTGTAGATATTAAAAAACGATGTTTCAAAACAACTATTAATTGCAGTGTCTATATTATCCTTCTAGAATATGCATTCTAGGAGACTTTAATGCTAATTATATTTGTCAAATCAAATATTAAGTAACACTTCAAAATACTAAAAATGAAGTTTCACTGAAGCAAATTATATATATAGATGAAAATCATTCTTGTTCCTGAAGTTTGACAAGTAAAAGTCTTTTTTGACCCACACACCAAAAATTAATTTCTTGATTTGTTGATAATTTTCAATGAAAGTGAAATATGTCTGAAGAAAGCTTTTGAGGAAGTTGTACCTAGTGCATGGGGACGAACTGTAGAGGTTAAATGGTGATGGAGAACTGGGCCTCTGGGATCCATAGCATCTTCGTGTGAAGTGCAATTAAATGGATTTGGTGGATCCAGAGATTGCAGTCGGAAGTACATGCTTAGCAGCTACTCTCAAGTTTATGCCTAGCTGCACGTACATCACCAGGGAGAGGAACAAGTTTCTGAAGCTGTTCTGAAAGCACAAATTTAATAAAGCAGTGTTCTGGATGCTGGATGATAATGATGAGAGTCAGGTATGTCTCGTTTGGGTATTGCCCGCATTTATCTCACAGTAATTCTGATCCATAAGAGTAGAAATTGCATTCCTAAACTGAGTAAAGCCGTAATTACAGTCTTCAGTGATATTGTCCCTGTTTTTTTACACTGCTTGGTCAGTCAGTTTGAATTGTTGAGTATAAGTTACATCCATTTGTGCACACCAGCTTCCAGTATGATTTAATTTGTAGTACTCAAGGCTTATAGATGCAGATTGTGAGGTCAGAAAAATATATTTGTGTTTTTCAGTCTATTTGGATTCTGCCTCATACCCACCAGGATGTCTGATGTTTTAGGAGAGGATTTTTTCTAAAAGTAATTCTGTACCACCTTAAAACCCCATAATCTTACTTCAGATCATCCTCTCCAACATTCAACTGTATTTTTATTGAAATTATTGTAATAGTTGTGACTAATGTTATCAACAGTCTTTTTTAACTGAAGTATAATTTTCATGTTCTAATATTCAGTTTGCAGTGTAGTACTACATAGTATTGCATATTGATTCCTGTAGCAATGAGCTGTAGTCTTCAGCTATGTATTTGTTGTTATGTGTTCTGTAGTGTAAATAAAGCAGGATATACTGTAGTATATCCTCTTACAATGTTCTATCTTGTCTGTAAGTCAGCGTTTTAAGTCTCTGCTGAATTCGATACAAAGGGAGAGAAAAAAAAAAAATCTTTCTTTTTCTTTCAAAGTTGCGGATTCCAACATATCGTGACAAGCCTGGAACAACGCCAATAGTACAGAATATGCACCAGGTAGAGATTAGGTACTTCTATTGTATATAACCCCAAGACAAAGCTAAATATCTGCCTTTCTTCTTTTGCTTTAAACTTGTTCATAAAAGATCAGTAGCAAATCCTTGTATACTTTGATAATCATGAAGTCCATAGTCTTTGAAAGTTTGAGTAGAGGAGACTAGAGTTGGATTCTTCCTGGAAAAGGTATTTTTAACCCAGTTACCCCAAGTACTTCAGAAGAGGGATGTCCAGCTGCTGGAAGAGGATGGCTGGCTGACAAAATTGCTGAACTTGAACATCCTTTGAATGGGTGAAACTATACTAGACTTTTTTGAGCATGAAAACTGAATTAAAAATCTTTAGCCATAGAAGAAGGATATAAAACAAATGAGTCCGTGCCTTCATGTGCTGTGTGTCTGTTGTTTAAAACAGTTTCAGTATTTTATGTCTTTTCTGAATCAGAAGTCGCATGCCTGTAAGTGGGGGGAGTGTGGTGGGGGATGTCTTGATTTTTAGCACACAAAAAATAGGTACTTGTGGAGATAATGTAGTACATACTGCAGCAATACAGTGGTGGTAAATAATTAGGGTATATACCATCTACTGTCTGTAAACATTTAAGGGAAACTATTTCATTTAATATCTAGGTATTCTGATGACTAAAACCCAAGCATTGCGATGTCTTTTAGGCAGATGTTCAGATCTCCATGGCTTTACCGACTGTTCATGAAGTAGATCTTTTCAGGTAGGAGTTTGGGCTGATTTATTCCTAGTGAATTCCCACAAGTCAAAGATTTATGACGGTTCCATAATATATCTAATAGCTTGCAAGCTAACATTTATCAGTATTGTTTTTAATATTTTTTTTTCTGTAAAGCTGTCTAAAAAACAATTCAAACAACATGCAGGCTGAAACTGCAATAAATAATCAAGTTCATTAAACATTCCATTTCACAGGAGTATTTAATATTTTTCAGAAGACTATTAAATACTACTGCAAACTTCCTTTTTATCCAGTTCTTAATCAAATACGTATTTCTTCTGGTTATGCTAAATGTATTAAAATACCTCAATCTGTTTTTAGGTGTTTCTGTCCAGTGTTCTTTCACATTCAGATGCTTTGGGAACTAGTACTGCTAGGAGAACCACTGGTCGTGATGGCACCATCACCATCAGAATCTTCAGAAACCGTGTTGGCACTTGTTAGGTAAATGTAGTGGAGCTTCCTAACTAATGACCAAGTGAGTCACTGTAGATTGCAGCTGAGTGCAACTTTATTTGACCTGAATATAATAAAGAATTTTGAATTTTGGATTTGCTTGTTTCTTTCATGAACTTTTGCATTGTATGCATACACCAAACATCCTCGTTCTACCTTGCAGTTGTATTTCACCGTTGAAGTACTGCAGCGATTTCAGGCCATACTTTACCATACATGACAGTGAATTCAAAGAATATACAACTCGCACGCAAGCCCCGTAAGTAAATCATACTTCGTTGTGAAGGTGTTGCTCAAAGCCACTCATAACCATAAATTTGTTTTAAGATACTGCTTAACTATTCTGAATTTCTGTCATTAGGGAATTACATTTAGACTCCTTATTTATAAGTTCTATCTTAGAGTGCAGTAGATAGCTGTTTTAAGGTTTCACTCCAGTTAGATCAGATAAAGCAGCTATGAAACAATGTCATAATTAAACTATATTTGAGCTTCATGGGATACTTGTGTACAGAATAAGTAAAACTGCAAATACGAAAGCAAGAAAAGTTTTGCTTTTCCATAAGAGGTTGTCTGTGCAACAGCAGCCCCATAGTAGCTCCTTGGGAAATTGTTCTGTAATTGGGTGGTTTTTTTATTCAATTACTAAACAAAGTGACTTCTAGAATTCAACATCCCTACAACTGTTTTGCAAAGTTAATCCAGTCAGTGTCCTAGCTGAGAAGATAATTTAAAAAGCAAATATCTCTTCACTAAATTTGTTAGAAAAATGTTGTAAATGATTCTGAAATTAAGATTCTTTTTTTAAGAGCATGAGTCTACAAAAACAATTCTGTTTGAAACTGCTTTAAGGACACACTTTTCCCCTTCTTTATTTTTTTTTAATCTTACTCTTATTTTGAGAGCATACACTTCCAATAGTTCTTGTTATGTTATTTAAATGCAACTTTATTTGGGAATGGAGTGCATGTGTTAGCTTCACTGATCTTTTTCTAAATAATTTTTTTCTAAAGTCTGAACAGGCAGTGGTTGTTGTGTTGGGTTTTTTGTTTGTTTCATTGTTTTTTTCCTGCATTTTTCCTTTCAGTGGAAGTATTGCCAGAGATACAACAGTGGAAAAACATACAAACATAGGCACCATGTTTCAGATTGTATTCCGTGGGAATGGTTATGCAGTATGTAATTTAGTTTCTAAAAATAATTTCAGGAAGAACTTGGTTAAACTTCAGTAACCCATGTTTAAAAACTGCATCTGCTCCTCTGTAGCAAAATAGAGGGGTTGTTCAGTATGTATGTTAGTATTTGAAACAGAGCTAGAATTACTCTAGCTTTCTTACGGCAAACAAAAAAATTGGAAAGATGGGAAATGGGCTTTTAAAGCAGTGGCTCTAAGAAGTGGAAGAATCCACATGATGCACATTTTGTGTGTTTTATTATCTTTAGGAAGAGGGGAGCAAGGGACTATTTTTCATCTTGATGTTTTGATTTATCGTGCCTTTTCAGAAATTACTTCAGTGGTTTAAAATCAGAATTGGCTCTGGTAAACATGATGGATTAAGGCTCCTAAAAGTGACCAAGTCATAGACTCATAGAATAGTTTGGGTTGAAAGCGACCTCAGAGGTCATCCCATTCCAACCTCCTGGCCATGGGCACGGACCCCTTCCACCAGACCGTGTTGCTCAGAGCCCCGTCCAGCCTGGCCTTGAACACTGCCAGGGAGGGGGCACCCACAGCTTCTCTGGGCAACCTGTGTCAGGGTCTGACCACCCTCAGAGTGGAGAATTTCTTCTGTATATCTAACCTAAACCTACCCTCTTTCAGCTTGAAGCTATTACCCACTTGTCCTATCTTGCTATTATGTCACCAGAAGCAGTGAAACAAGACTCCTCATGATTTGCTACCAGTTAACCTTGACCTGGAGAATTATCATTTGTGTGTGTGTGTAAATGAAAGCCTTACTTGACTTTAACCCTCAGTAAAAGAAAGCCAGTTTATGAACAGTGGTCCAAACGAATTCTGTGTGAAACTTGCTTCTTGGTTCCCACAAAATAGGCATGAGAAGATTTAGTAGTTAAGCTAGGTCAGACTTGATCCATTGCTAGGGAGGAGGAGAATGCCTATTGTTTGGCTTCTTTTGAGCCTCAGTTTGTTTCTTACATTGGTTCTCCTGACATGACCATGAAAAGAACATAAGGTAAAACATCATAAATTGATTTTTCAGAGTACAACAGAGGAATCTGTTAAGAACTTTTTATGGGTGCTGGTCTTTATAATTTTGGAAAAGAGACTGTAAATCATGTATGATAACACAGAAAAATCATGAACAACATTTGCAAATCCCAGTGAATTTAAATCAATAATACAAATGAGTTTAACAGGATTACAGAAAGAGCAAAAAATAATGAAACCAAATTCATGTGAGTGGGGGGAAAAATATACAATATCTGGAATAAAATGTTTTCAGGTGAACGTGCTTGAAGAGCAGTAGGACTCGGAAGAACTGATTGTTCTGGTGAAGGTTGAGTCAGTGACAAACAAGAAAAGACTTCTGAGAAACTAATACAGTTTGGTGTTGCTCATTCTAAGATGGAATGGAGAGATGAAAATGGCTATTTCCATAGCCCAGACATTATACGAAGCTACAGAGCTGTGTGATCAGATTTTTGTCCTATCTGTGAATGACTCATGAGTGTGTGTGCATGTGTATATATATAGTTATAATTAGCAAGTGGAAGGAGGAATGAAAGTCAGAAATGTTTGTAGGTTAAGATAGAAATTGATGCCCTGTTGCCGTCATGATACAGCGGGAAGAACTGAGTAAAAATATGAAGATTACTTGTTGGTTTTCTCCCCACCTTGCCTTGAGAAACAGGAGACTTAAGGATGGTGTTACAGAAAGTGTTAAAATTTGGGTTTTTTAAAACAAATCTGAAGAAATGATGGTAACCTATTGTTAATATGGGGGTTCCAATGAGGCTTGCAGTTATGCTCTCTCCTTAGCTAATGTTCGGCTGTAAAATGGATGGCAGCCACTATCCTGAAAAATATGTTGATATTTCACCATATTAGTGCTATAAATCCCAAATTCTGCAGGCCTGTGCTCTTACTGCCTCTTGTTCTCTGGGTGCTCCCATGCATCCCCGAAGCCAGGTTCTAAGCACAGGGTAGACAGAAAAATCTGACAGGTTGTGAGCTTGGGCACAATGCTATTAATGTGCTTGTACTTCATCACTTGGTGATTGCTTTTTAACAAAGAAGGCTAAAGTGTCGGAAAGGAAGTAGGCTATTAAGTGTCTCTTAATTGTGTCTTCTGAGCAGTAGCTGTACTGAGAAGTCTCATGTGAACAGCGGTCACGTTGACATGCACATTCAGATACTACGACTTTGTTATAATCAAACCTTGAAAAGTAGCAAGTTGTCTTTCAAATATGGGCCAGATTCCTGCTCATTAAAAAAAAAAAAACAAACCAGATAATAAATCAGATAATGCCCTGTTCTCATCATTGTGAATGGGCAGGATTTAGCCAAGAGTCTAAGCAGATGATGTCACTTTTATTCTCCATTACTGTCTGGACACATGGATACGTCTTGCTATTTTCTAAAACTTTGATAAGCATACTGTACTTTTATGTGCAACTTAAAATGTAGCTCATAAATACAAAAGGAAAATAATTTCAAGTAAAGAATTAAAGTTGACCTTTTGTATTCTTTATGGCAGAAGCTCTTACTGTCGTATTTTAAATGTTGTCATTATTTTTCTAGACCATCTGTCATTCTAGGGGTGACGAATCCTTTTTTTGCTAAAACGCTTCAGCACTGGCCTCACATCATCCGAATTGGAGATATTAAACTTCCAGGTAAAGTACAAATATCTTCTTCAATCTTGTGTGACAAGATCTAATGATATGCTTATTTATTTACAAACATACGTAATTTACTTCAATTTACTCACCAAACCCTCATGGATTTAAATCTGTCAAGAGAAGTTAGGCTCTTGAGTACTGTGTGTCTTGTATTGCCAAATATAGTATATTAAGTGCAAAAGGTGGTAATACTCATCAGTAATAATGATTTACCTTGCGTACAATCTGTTTTTGTATCTCTACCACTAAGGTATTAAAATGAGAAACACCATTTATTGCTGATATTAATTTTAGTATGAGTAGAATGTAATAAATCAGCCACAGCAAGTGCACAGAAAAGTAAACCCATGTGAAAACAAAGTTGGAATGTTACAATAACATGTTGATTGTTGACAGTATTTTGATAATATATTTATAATCTGGCAATATTCCAGTAATTACTAATTGTTCAAGTTGGATGATTTCCTTACATGATTGAGTAGAATTTTAATGTAATCTTTGGATAGCGTGTCAGTTGCTAGCCTGTAATAACATACTGCAGTACATTCTAATTATTATATGAGATTTCTGAATGCAGCTGTTGCTGTAAGAGGTTTGCTGTTCTGTTCTGAAAGAGGGAATGCATAAATATCTAGTTAGGATAATACACCATGAAATTCATTTTTGTAGAATAAGTTACATTCAATTTCTGAATACACCAAATTATTAATGATTACATACTGTGTTCAATAGAATTAGGCAAGGTTTTGCTTTACTTAAAAATAGCATGCCTGTCCATGCTTCAGAAGGCGGCTTGGGGGTGTGTGCGGAGGAGTTAGCTGGCTGCTGTGTCCTTAAGGTTTGGAAAATAGAATCTGGATTAAGCTATTAAACCTCTGCAAAGCCATATACACAGGTTGCCCTCATCTACAGGGTAGGGTATGAAATTCTAAAGTTTTGGTGCAGCTATGTGAAATGCTTAGTCAGGAAGTTCTAGAGATGCATTTGTCTGACCTGTCTTTAAAAATTCACATTTTATTTCTTTAGGGACAAAGAGAGAGCTTGTGATTTTTTTTGCTTGTTGTTTTTTTTGTTTTCCTTTTCTCCCCACTCTGCAGTTTCAATAGCAATTTATACTATTATCTTTTCTGAAGTCGAGCATCCAACTAGATCTAAGGGGAAGGGTCTGCTGAGGCTGCAAGGCTGAACAGGGTTTAGGGTCTTCTGGCTGGAGAAGGGTCTATTTGAAAAAGAAGACAAAAAAACTTAGTTTGGCCTGTGGAAGATAAGACCTAAATTAATTTTCTTACAAAGCTTAATCCATGGTTACTGTTTTAATTTCTTATATATGATTTTTATTTTGACTGAGGTACTAAAGATTTGTTCCTGAAAGCATGTACCCTAAGGGGAACAAAAGAAGATGGAATAAAATTTGAAATTAATGAAACAGTCATTCACTGCTGTATAAGCAGTGTTTTTCTTTGGCTGCTTTGATTCAGAAGGTCATCCTTCTGGTTTTTTGGTTTGGTGGGATGGTTTTTTTTTCCTTTTTCTTTTCAACAGGTAACCCTTATATAAAATGAGAAGCCTGTATGCTGTTATTCATATGTTTACTAGACATTTCTAGATATGTGCTTGGATGCTTGTTGGTGTTTCTAATGCCTCTTACAATATTAGGTAGTCTTCTAAATGAAAGTATTTGTTTCTAAAAATCAGTGCAACATAAGGCACATGAACTGTTTTATCTCATAATAGGGATGGAGATTTCAAGTAAGGTTGCTTTAAATGTTTTGGCAGGTGAAGTTCCAAAGCAGGTGAAAGTGAAAAAACTGAAGAACCTAAAAACTTTGGACTCCAAACCTGGTAATAAGTTGCCTCAGAGTTAAATTACCAGCATTTTAATTTTAAAAAGCATACCTAATTTTTCAATTTATATGCTGCTTTTTTTCTTTAGGTGTTTATACCTCTTACAAGCCATACTTGAACAAAGATGAAGAAATTGTTAAACAGTTACAAAAGGTAATACTGGCGGTCTCTTCTTAACGGAGATTTTGTGCACTGTTGTATGTTGTTTTCATTGAAGGATGAGCTTTGTCTACATAATTGAAATAAAACTGGGTTCTGATTCCTTTGCCCCAACTCATACTGAATAGACAGGTATACACCCTCATTGCAGGAGAAGGGCTGCTGCCTTGTTAGCAGTTTCTATAACAACATGAATGGTAGGACTCAAGAAGTCAGCTTAATAATTCAGAAAATTGATTTATCACTTAATCTGTTTTGGGCTTTCAACCCTCTGCCATATCCCTCTAGTCTCTTTGGTCTAGAAATCTCTTGAATTTCTTTAAGTAAAAAATCGGCAACTGAAGGGATGAATATCTGTGCAAAAGGATTTGGTGCTGCTGCTTTCCTTTCATGGTTCAGGGTACGGGGTGCTATGTGTAAGTTTATGGAAAATGAATACAGAAACACTGAAATAAATATTCTTAAAAATAAACCCCACAACTACGTACATATTTGGGGTAACAGACTTATAGTGATATTTTATTTCTTTTTTTTAAGGGTGTACAACAGAAACGTCCTACAGAAGCACAGAGTGTGATTCTTCGGCGGTATTTTTTGGAACTGACGGAAAGTTTCATTATTCCATTAGTGAGTTCTTAGACTAATGGGTTTTTTACATATGTAATATGGAGTAGCTTTCTTGGCGTTAGCCTGACTAGTCCAGTAACTAGCAGTGTACCCCTGGGATCAACACTGGATCCAGTCCTGTTCAACATCTTCATTAGTAATCTGAATGATGGGGCAGTGTGTACTCTCAGCAAGTTTGCTGATGGTACAGAACTGGGAGGACTGGCTGATACACCAGAGGGTGGTGCTGCTCTTTGGAGGGACCTCAACAGGGTGCAGAAATGGACTGATGGGAACCTCATGCAGTTCAGCGAAGAGAAGTGCAAAGTCCTGCACCTGGGGAGGAATAAACCTATGCAGCAGTATATGCCGGGGCTGCCAGGCTGGAAGGCAGCTTTGTGGAAAAGGATCTGGGGTCCTAACGGACGCGGAGTTGAGCATCACCCAGCAATATGCCCTTGAAGCAAAGGTGGCTGCTGGTACCCTGGGCTGCATTAGGATGGGTGCTGTGCCAGCAGGTTGAGGGAGGTGATCCTTACCCTCTAGTGACTACTGGTGAGGCCACACCTGGAGTATCATGTCCAGTTCTGGGCTCCCTAATACCTGAGAGAGAACAATGAAGGGCCATTAAAATGATTGAGGGCTGAAGCATCTTTCGTATGAGGAAAGGCTGAGAGAGCTGGCACTGTTTAGCTTGGGGAAGAGAATTTTCAAGGGGGGAGCTCATCAATGTATGCAAATATCTGAAGGGAGGATGTAAAGAAGATGGATCCAGGCTCCTTTCAGTGGTGCCCAGTGACAGGACAAGAGGCAGTGGCCACAAACTGAAACATAGGAGGGTTTGACCATTAGGGAACACTTTTTTTACTGTAAGGGTGACTGAGCACTCTTTAACAGGTTAGGTTACCCAGAGAGGTTGTGGAGTCTCCATCCTTGCGGATATTAAAAAACTGTCTGGGCATAGTCCTGGGCAGCCTGCAGGTATGCTTGACCATGGCATGATAAGGAGAGGGGAGCTGACCTGATGATCTCCAGATGTCCCTTCCAACCTCAACCTTTTTTGTGATTCTGTGAAGAATATTTGAGCTATGCAGAAATTTACCTTTAAGCTATGTCTTGACTTTTCTAAAATACTCGGGTCTTATATTTCTTTAATTACCATACTTAGCATGAAAATTACGAAAGCCATAGCTTAATATCAAAAATGAAACACAGACAAAAGGTTCAGATCTCAAGAAGGAATACTTTTTTGTGTATGTTGCTAGACAGCATTTTCAGATGTTTGCTTGCGATGTGCTGTGTAGCATTTATGTAAAGCAAAACTTTGTGTATTTTAACATGGACTAAAAATGAAATGTCTTTAACCCTTCCTCAATGCTTGGAACACCTGTCCACTGTTGAAATATACTACTTCTTTTTTTTTTATTATTTTATTTAAGTGTAAGGGTGTTTCCCCTGACCTTGAGAAATGTCAATATTGAAAGGCAGAGTTAGAAAGTACTTTGTAATGAGAAGAGCTCTGTATCTGTATACTCTTGCAGTAGTGTGCTGTGACAGCTGAGAGGATACTACAAGGTAATCTTTCTATTAATATGTGGAAGATCAACCAACTCAACTGGTAAATGAGACTGGCTTAATTTTTTTTCCCTTAAATATTTATTCTGTCTTCTAGTGGTAGTGTTTTTCCATGCAAATAATTAAAGTTTAGAGAATTTTTCCCTTTTCCAGTCATATTTGTGCACGGACTGCTGTTATGCTCAGTGTGAGAAACTGCATCTAGCATATCTCGGTTCCTTTCATCTGCCTTGTCCAGACAGACCGTTTCATTACTTGTCCTCTAGGCAATTAATTTACTCCTCTTACTTTTTCACAGAACTACTTACCTTTGCAACTTCATTTTTACCTATGTTCTATGTGACCTTCAAAGAACAATATCTGTCTCCGAAGGTAGACAGTTTGGGGTTTGTTTTGGTTTTCCTTTTTGTTCATTGATTTTTGGAGGACTTTTTGCCGTTGGATTACCTGCAGTAGACAAATTTCAGCAGTCAGACCTCCTTGGGCAGTTGTTTTATGGCCTCAAAGCAGCTATTTCCTCAGATTATTGCAGTATTTGTAGGATTTTCAAATCCTGCAACTACATCAAGCATAAACAAAAGTTACAAGAGACTTCTGAGAAAAAGGCAATGTCTCCACTTACATTCAAAGCATCTAGAACTGGCAAAAGGATTATTGTGAAACTCGGCTTTCTCTCTGTCTCATTTCCTGGCAGGAAATGTTAATGGCCAGCATTATGTAGCACGGGCTACAGAATTTGCTTTCTCTTACCTGGTCTCAGTTTTCCTCATTATTTCTGCTGTTTCAGAAAAAAATGGGCAAGAGAAATTTAGTATGGATGGTTATTTCAAACACTTAAATACCCTTGAGGAAAAAATCACACATGCAGAACTCTTCAATAGATCATAAAATCAAAGATGAATTTAGGTTAACTGGGACATCTGATCCAACCCCACTGCTCAGAACAAGGACGATTTGAATATATAGCTAAATATCAAACCTTACTTTACAAGTATAGGCATAAACTTCAGACAAATTCAACACACTTATGTCCCCTGATTCTAGAGAGGCTTTTGATCATTATTCTCATGCTTTGTCTTCCTCAGAGGCAGTAAATACAGCTTCTAGGTCACTGGTGACTGCAGTGATCACACACAGTACTGCCCTTTCCCCAAGGCCTGGGTTTTAGCGTATAAGACATTTTCATGATGGTTTGCCATTTCTCAGTCCTCCTCTTCTTCCCTAAACACCTGATACAGTTTTACATCCAGGGGGGAAAATCCCAAAACAACATTGAAAGCTTTCAGAGTTCTGTGTTTTCCTGGGTTGTCTTGTTTTGGTTTGGTTTTTAACCAACCTCAGCAAAGAGCCGCCAGTTTTTGTGCTAAGCTGTAGCAGAGATGAGTCCAGCAGTCTCAAGGTTCATAATGAGACGAATGGAATCTAGTTCCTTTGACCATAATTTCTGTTCGGGAATTTTCCTTCTGATTTTGTTGTTTTATCTTTGTCTACTAGTGATGAGCTGGTTTGTTTTTCTTGTGTCTCGTGAGTGAGGTTTCTAGAGAGTACATCTCAAGATTTTCTGTGTTCTTCCCAGCAGTTTCTATATGCTGTTTTTGTAAGAGAATGATTCTCACAAGCGTTTGCTTTATCAGGTGATACTTTCTTCTGGTTTTGGGTACAATAAAACAGATTCTGATGAAACTTTGCAAATTCAGGTGACTCTAGAAGATGTTATTACAATTTTACAAAGGAGACACTATCACTGAATGTTGAGATACATCTATTTTATGTCAGGGCATCACACAGAGGATAGTTTTTTCAGTGTGTTTAGAATATTTTATTGTACGGCATCATGCTATTCTGGAAATGGCAGATACCTGATGTTTTGCTCTCGAAACATGGTACTTCACCTGTTCAAATCTCTAAGCCAAAGTTAGAGGGCAAATTTTGTCTCATTTCTAACCAGTCAGCAGAGTTTGGAATGCGTAATGTTCGTGGATTTATGTGGGTTTTTGTTTTTTGTTTGATTGTTGTTTTTTTTTCTTTCTGCTGGAGCAAGATCTCAATTTGCTGAAACAAATTTTAAAATAGGAATTTGTTTCTAATGTACTAGTAAAAACTTACCTGTCCTGTAAATTGAAGTCCTGCTGTAGTGTTTGCCAGCTCCTGACATACCTTTGTGCTGACAAAGGAATATTGCATTTAGGTTGCTGAATCCATACAGATTTGTAGGCTTTGACTTGCAGTGAACTGGAAATCTGTCATCTGTTTTCTAATTTGTGCATTAAGATAGTGTTAAGTGTATTCTAATATGCTCTTAGCTAGCATTTGGAGGTATGAAGTCCGAGTAATGATCGACTTCCCCAAGCCAAAAAGTTCTGTGTGAAGTTATTTCTGTGGACAAGTGGTTGAAATTGGGAAGTGATACGTCAGGCATTGGATGTTGACCTATCAGCTGCCCCATTCTGAGCCCTTTCTTGTGGATGACCCGAACTTTTCATCATTTTAGAGCATGCATTATCAGGTCCAATTTCTGTCTGCAAGAATGGGGACATCCCTAGACACTTGTTTGTCCTTGGGTGTTAATGATTAGAGGAGCTTTTCCTTAAAATTTGTCTTAATGATTAGAGGAGTTTTTCCTTAAAATTTGTCTTTCTCTCCTGTTCTTTTGAGACAGTATGGACGTGTAAGGTGAATCTAAAACCTTTCCCTGACATTCCACCCATCTTGCTCAAACTTTAAGTGAGAAACTTCATACGTTTTCTGTTATAAATCTTAAATTTACAGGGTGAGATCACCCTTTACGTTCTCTGCCACCAGAAAAGTATACGGGGATTCCTTAGTTCTGTCTTCTGGAAAAACAAGACTTTTTGTAATGTTACTGAAGCTGATTATATTCATGTATCAAAATGTATGGCCATTTGCATACAAACACTTTCAAAATGCATAGCAGCTTATACTGATGTGCTGGTGTGAGCTGACAAGGCGGAGCTGCCTCCTGTCGTCAGACCTCAGGCTTCGGCAGTGGCCCTGTGAGCCGTGTCTCCACTACTCGTGCGTTACATAGCGAGCTGGGCTCTAGCCATGCCTTTGCCAAGCACTGCTACTGCGGAGATGCCTACAGCTGTTACAGTGTTTTGTAGGTTAGTTCTGTATGTAATGTTTGTATGAGGGACTTTGAAAATCACTTCCAAATACTTGATATGCCGTGGGATTACTGTTTGGAATCACCCATGATATGACGGTACCTGTGGATTGTCACCAAAGAAAAGAGAGATTATTTACTAGTGGCTAGAGTTCAGAATATATATATATATATTCTATGTATACGTTTTTTTTCCTGTCCTCCTTTCCCTCATGTCCTTCTTGAACCTTACTGATGTAAAGTTCTGTAGTTGGGAAATACAAATGGTATTAGATAAGCTCCTTCTTATGCTCTCATGTGGTAAATATGCATGACCCCACCCTGTACCAATACTTAGAAGAGAAAATGCTGTGGTTAAAAGTGATAAGTAAACATACACGTGGACTGTGTATCTTTAATACTGGTTATGCAAACAAGCTTTCTTTTTCCTTTCCCTAGGAACGTTACGTGGCAAGCCTAATGCCCTTGCAAAAATGCATATCACCATGGAAGGTAAGGAAATATAATTTGAATGAGCTGGAAATTGGTGATTAGAGAAAACAGTTACGGTATGCTAATAATTTTTTTTTCTTTCCATAGAGTCCACCACAGCTGAGGCAGTTTAGCCAAGATGAGTTCATGAAGACACTGGAAAAAGCAGGACCACAGCTCACATCAGGTTTAAAAGGAGACTGGATAGGACTTTACAGGTCATTTCTCTCGTCGGCGTAAAAAATTAAATTATATAAATGAAGACAAATCAGTAATATGAATGCTCTTTTCCTGAGCAAACTCATTAGCAGTAGTGATATGAATAAGACTTACTTTTAGAACATATGCTTTAATAGGAATTGATAGTGCTTCATATACTATCTCTTAGTATATGTTATCTTAGTATGCTATAGTATATATAGTATACTATATCTTAGTATATGTTACTCACTTAAATATGTTTTCTCTGTGTAACCTGTTAATGGCTTTTATAAGGTGCTACTAATGCTACAGGTGTCTGTGTTACCAGTATTATTTGTGGTTTTATTTCTGGTTCTAACTTGATTCTTCCTTCCAATCAAAACAAAGATAAAAATGAGGATATTTCAAAGTGAGCCTTGCTTTTTTCCTGACAGAACTCCTAATCTTTATTGTCTTTTAGACCCTTTTCTTTACATTGTTTTCTCAATCCTCGTCTTGATTGATAGAAGCATGTTATACTCCACTTCAGAATATTACAGTTTTTGAAAGTAAACAGAGAAAGAGTCCTACTATCTCCTTCAACCTCAAACATAATTACTTTATATTTGATGACATAGAAAACACTGTGTTGTCAAAATTCTAATGAAAATATAAAATGTATTTTTCTTTGGTGTTTTACCAGGCATTTTTTGAAATCACCCAACTTCGATGGTTGGTTTAGGAGCCGGCAGAAGGAAATGATACAGAAGTTGGAGGCCCTTCATTTAGAAGCACTCTGTAATGAGGTTAGAAACGTGTGCTTATGATTATATTTATCATCTTGTAATAAAAATATGTTATCCCTCAAGCCAGTTATACTCCTGCTGTTTTCTCTTGTTGACCATAAAAATGTTGACAACTTCGTCAAGTTGGATCTAGCAAAATGTGAATTTGTTAACCAAGTACAAGCTAGAATTAACGTAGTAAAAGAGAATATGAAATATAGTTAGCTTTTTTTTGTAACGACTGTCATAATTTGTAAAATTTAATATTCCTCCCCCTCCCCCCACAAAACAGGTTTTTCCTCGTATTTGATAATGTTATTTCATTCAGCTTCCTTCTTTGGTGTTCCAATGCATTTTCAGTTGTGATACAGTTTGTAGCTTTGAAGGTATAAACTCAGTACCATAGAAAATTGACAGCTAATTAGATATGGATAGTAAACAGGCCTACGACTGATCTAAAGTAATTGGAAGCTGAGAAGTGAAGTCTGGCCTACACGAAGGATGGAGAGGGGCTTTTCACAAGGGTGTGTAGTGATAGGACAAGGGGTAATGGCTTTAAACTGAAAGAGAGCAGATTTAGATTCGATATTAGGAAGAAATTCTTCACCATGAGGGTGGTGAAGCACTGGCACAGGTTGTCCAGACAAGCTGTGGATGCCCCCTCCCTGGAACTGTTCAAGGCCAGGCTGGATGGAGCTCTGAGCACCCTGGTCTGGTGGAAGGGGTCCCTGCCCATGGCAGGGGGGTTGGAACCAGATGATCTTTATGGTCCCTTCCAACCCAAACCATTCTATGACTCAATGAGAAATGATCTTATGTTTTTACTTAAGAAGCTGAAGTGGGTATCAGTATAATTTGAGTTGGAACAACTGATAAAAAAAAATGCTACAAAAGGAGAAGAGATTGTACAGCTAAAGAGGGAATAGGAAGAACAAAAAAAAGTCAATACCACAGCTTTAAAACAAACAAAAAAATTGTGCTGGTTATTTTTAAAAAGTCATTGATTTTTATCCCTGGCTTTGTCAATTCCCAAACAGTACATTGTAGCAACCCAAACAGATGGTTTAATTAGAGCATCCCAGATAATTTGCAGGCCAATAGCTAGGTCAATTATATCACCTATAATCTATCCAACTATATTTGACATTAACTTACTGCAAAGAAAAGTGAATGTATCAAAAATTTATTACTGACTTGGGTCCTTATTAGTTTTTTTCTTTTGATCAAAGTGTTAACATCTTTCTGTGCATGAGCAAATGCCTTTAACAGGTGAATAGTAAAGGGGTAGGGGAACAGAACTTCCGTAAGAAAATTCACTTAATCCATATGTTTTACTAGATATCAACTGTGTGATCACCTTTAATGCCCTAGAAACAAGAAGTGCTGCCTGGCACTATTTTAATATTTCATTGTGCTAGCAGATCTGATTTGGTAAACATTCACTTCCATTTTGCATTGTAGATGCTATTTTTGAAACTAAGCCTGTTTGGTATGGTGTTTTGTTTTGGGGTTTTTTTATTTCTTTGTATTGTGTTTATATCCTAGTCTCTTGCTAAGTCCTGGGCAAACATGCAAATAAAGTAGATTTTGCAGTTCACAGTAGAGACAGTCCAGGAGTAAAATGAGTTTAGTAAATGGCATGAGAATAAGGAAAATGAGAAGACCCATTTGGAACAGTAGGTATAAATTAATACTACTTCTGAAAATTATATGTGTTGCTGTAAATATTTCAATGGTTAATTTTTATTCTTTTAGAACTTGGTTTTCTGGAGTCAGAAGCATACTGAAGTAGAGACAGTGGATCTTGTCTTAAAGTTAAAGAATAAACTGGTAAGTAACTGAATTGAACATGGCTCAAATTTGCCTGACTTAACTAGATGAAAGTATTATACAGTTATGTCTACAGGTACTTAAATTAAAATATTCTTTAAGATCTAGGTAGCTCAAGGAATCAGTCTTTCAGGTTTTTAAAAACAGTTCATTTCAGCCAGGACTGCAGAGTTAGCTGGCTTCCCAACATCGTCCAGGTATGTTGGAAGCATTCCACTGATCCTGGTTTTTTTTAAAACTAGTTGGAACTTTGTCACTGACCTGAGTGGGAGCAAGGCTGAATCCTCAGGGAAGGAGAAAACTTCTTGTGATTACCGAAAGTCTAAATCGGTGTTAGCTCATGCTGTTGTGTTGTTGTTGAGGAAACCTGCTGTTTTAGTAGAAATGATGTTTTATTCTACCTTTGCAGTTGCAGGCTGACAGAGAACAGCTTCCTGTGAAAACTGACACACTGAAAAAGCTGCAGACACACATCAATGATATTATACTAGCACTTCCAGATGACTTACAGGACATCTTGCTCAAAACTGGCACAACATGACTTCTACTGGGCTCTTTTGTGCAGAAAACAAAAGGCAAATGTAGTTTCACAGAAGACAGTGGCTTACCAACTTTGGAACGCAGCTCTACATAGTGTATTAACACTACAAATGGACTATACTAATAGTATAGCCCACTTACTATTTTCACTGTTTTTTCCACTTAACTACCAATGCAACTAAAGGAATTCCTGTGTCTAATAACGTTCGAAATAAGTGCTCTTAAAGAAACATCTGTCGGCATATGAAATTCTGCCACAGTATAGGACCATGGTGCCGTGCTGGCGTTGCAGAGTGTTTTCCAATTGGTGCTGCTATACCCGTTCCTGCTAACTCAGGGGTAAGCAATAGTGATCCTGTACTGTCCTGTTATGTAGTATCTGATTGCTTTTTTTCCTTTTAGTTTTCATCTAGTGATAAGCCCAACTGGCATATTATGTGACTTGGTCAGAATACAGTATAGTTGAGGTATTTTACTGGTAAATGATTGCTTTCAAAACTGTTTCAGGGACAGCTGAAATAAGCAGATCGGTTTTTAACTTTCTTCCTTTCTCCTTGTTACCATCTTTTCAAAACCATATCAATTTAGCATCTTTAAAGAAGAGAAGGCAGCTGACAAAATTTCCTGAAGAGAAGTCTCCTCCCTTCAGTGTCAGTTGATTAGTTTACTCACATATGCCTTAAATATAAAGTAATTGGATACTAATTGGTGGTTTTAAACTGCTGGCATTCAGGATTTAAAGTGGATCACTAGTGTAAATGTAAGTATGCAGTATTCATCACAGGAAATAAACAGTGGTGTTCTAATATGGATTTTAAAATCAGTGATTCCAATACAGCTAACTGATGTACAATCTGTTTCAGCTGGACATCATAGCAGTCTGCTCCAGTTATAACTTTTTTTTTTTACTTTATAGTTTTTATTTATACCAGTAGGGTGTTTGAGGAGGTAACAGGGCTGGAGGGAGAAGATGTTGGCTTCAGATGAAAAGAGCCTATGGAAAGGTCAAACTGTGGTGAGAAAAGATTGTAGCAGGAAATATGCATATAGCAGACATGCATAAAAAGTCATTTCCTCTTGCATATTAAGCAACAAGAATGTGATGTTTATCTTCTTGAACAAGTTTCAGTGGTATATAAGAACTCAGCTGCTCTACATGCAGTGTTGTACTTTGACCAGTTTCAAGCAGAATAAACTTAATACTATAGTATACACACAACATACACTTTTATATGACAAATGGATCACGGTTGTAAAAAAAAAAAAAATCAATCTGCTTTTAAGTGCTTGGATAGAATTTTTTAAAACTTACGGTATAATCCTGCTATAAGAATATGCTTTTGTATGATAAATATAACATCTTTCTAAAAAGGTCTTATTTAGATATAAAATGTCACAACAGTATTTTTATGAAAATACGTATTTTAATACTGTTACGGTTTGTATACAATTACTCATGACCAAAAGTTTAATGTATCTATTATGTTACTACATAACTACACCACTTCAGCATTAATTTCTAACTTGCAAATTTTTTTGCACACCCTGAGGAATAGCATTTCTAATCCAGAAATTAATAAGTGGCCATTCTTATACCAAATTATCTTAAATATTTAACTTGGAGCACTGTGTAGTTTCTTGGAACTGTGTAAACTGGTAACAACTATGATAACTATCACATGACTGCAAATATGTATTTTTGTAAAAGAAAATAAAAGGGTTGATTTTTATTTTTTTTCTTTGTAAGTTATATGACTTAGATGATGTGTGTGATTTGTTTGTGTTTCCCCTCTCCTGTCAAAGCAAAGCTGTTTAGCACCTTGTAGAGACTGCTGCTTAGTCTGACTTGATGAAGCTGTACCCCTTAGGTGACCAGAAATCATGCATCACGGTTGTAATATGGCAGAGCTGCAGGATCCTCAAGAAAGCAAATGGCAGGGACTGGCTTCCAAGTAAAGTTTATCCAATCTTCAGTCTATTTCCTGTACACCTTTGTGAGGCCCTTGAGAAACATGGTAATGGGAAGTAGACTGCAAGCAAAGTTCAATTCAGGTTTGTTTAATGGAGTTGGTATTAGTTTAAATCCCTGAAAAATTAGATGCTTAAAGATAATTATTAGAATGTTGTTCAAAAGAAAGGCAAAAAGAAAAGTCATACCAGGTTGTTGGCTATCTTTGTCAGTTATTTGTAATGCTTTTAGTAATACTAGTTCAAAAGGACCTTAACCTAGAACTACAAGTCTAAGCAAAATGTAGTCACTAAAACAGGAACAGTCTTTCCTCATTGCAGGTTTCTGATTTTGTCCTGTTTCCCTGCAGTCTTGTTACACTGAGCGTGCATATTTTGGCTAGGAGTGCTTCAGCCGTTTGTAGTGTTGCAGCAGAGGAATTTCATCGGCTGCAGAAAGCAGTTGCCAGCTTGGTGAGCTAGAATTCTCCCACCTCTAGTTTGTGGTGGGGCTTTTTTGTTCTGTTTTGTTCTTAACTCATTGTGCTTAAAATACAGGTAAAGAGCTTGTACTAACCCTCCTTCATCTGAGGCTTGATGGCTGAAGGATAGTTTCAGTAACTTTGCCTTC